TGTAGTCGTCCATCAGCATTTGCTTGTAGTAATACCGCCCCCACCGCAACGTCACTTGCATCCGCTTGGACTACAAATGGCGAATCCATATCTGGGTGTTTCAAAACTGGTTCAGCTGCAAACAGTCATTTTAGTTTTTCAAATGCGGCTTGACACTCCATAGTTCAATTTAAGGACTTTTTGGTCTAGGTTTGGCCTCCCCCTTTAATTTCAGGAGGTTCGTAATAGGGAGGGTGATGCCGGCGAACGAGGGAATAAATTGACAATAAAAATGTGCAAATCCCAAAAAACTTTGCAACTGTTTGCAGGTGCGGGGGGAGCCTGTTCAGTGACAGCTTGGACCTTTGCTGGGTCCATCTCGATGCCATCATGGGAGATGCGACACCCAAGGTAGTCAATTTTCTCCTGATGAAATTTACACTTAGACAATTTCGCATACAGTTCCGCTGCCCGGAATATTTTAAGCAACAAGCGGACCAGTTTCACGTGTTCTTCAGGTGTTTCCGTGTAAATAAGGATGTTATCAAGATAGACCATCATGTCTTTGTAGAGGTGGTCATGCAAAACGTCATTAATTAATTGCATGAAAACAGTTGGCGCCCCCTGTAGGCCAAATGGCAGTACTCGGAATTGAAAACAACAAAGAGGGCAGTTGAACGCAGTTTTCCACTCATCACCCTCCTTAATTCTGACTCTGTAATAGGCCTCCCGCAGGTCTAATTTTGTGTAAAATTTTCCTTTACCCAACTGGGCCAGCATGTCCTTCATTAACGGCAATGGGTAGAGATTCTGAATACAGATAGCGTTCAGATTTTTATAATTCACCACCAAGCGGAAGGAGCCATATTTCTTTTCTGTGAACATAACTGGGGCAGCCACCCAGAGCCTAGCAGGCTCAATGAAACCCCACTGCAAATTTTTGTCAATAAACTTTCTTAACTCATCCATTTCACAGGGGGTCATTGAATAAATCTGAGGTTTCGGAAGTTTTACTCCGGGAATATCAATGCTGCAATCAGTAGCACGGTGTAAGGGTAATTTATCAGATGACTTTTCACTGAAAACATCTTTCAGGTCCCAATATTCTTTGGGGATTTTCTCCTCCCCCTCAATTTTTTCTTGCCCCCTGGCTGCTAGGTTGGGTCAGCGTTACTCTGTTTGGGAGCCTCCCCCTCTCCTTCAGGGGGAGTAGCAGATCGGATGCGTATCCACCCTTTCCTCCAATTGATGTGTGGATTCCATTTGCGCAACCAGGGTAAACTTAATGTAAGAGGCCAATCCATCCCTGGCGCCACAATAAAACTTATTGATTCTTGGTGAGTTCCCATCCACATGTTTATTGGCTCAGTCACAAAATGGGCCAGGCTCCCTCCAGCTATCGAGCCATCCAAGTGGCAAAAAGCAATTGGGACCTTCAAAGTTTTTAGTCTTAGGCCCAATTTTTCCACTACTTCGGGGCTAACGATGCAACGTGTGCAACCCGAATCTAAAAGAGCCAGCAACTTTTCTTGCGCTCCAGTAGAGGGCACTTTAAGTTCCACTGGGATAGTCATGGGCCCCGATCAGGAGCTTACTAGATGATCGTCATCAGTTTCAGTTTCACTTTCCTTCGATGAGGGTGATTCCTCTTCCCCTGGGGCAGGGTGGATTTGCGGAC